GTAGCCCTAGCAACTCATTTTATGACTTTTTTGTCTAACCACGTTGTTTCTAGTCATCTGTTTAATACACTGGCCTTGCTTTCTCACTGCGTCCTTAAAGGCTAGTAATGGTGATAAGCATGGGCTCTGTTTTCAAACCGCATTTACACTACTATCCTCGCAATGTGGCTTCCATGACAGGACCACCATGTAACATTATCTCATATCCAGGTACCCATGTGTTTGCTGGGCCTGGACTACACTATCTTGTTCCAGCCTATGTCAATCTTGACAATACTCAGCTCGATTTCTGGCTTTCAAAGAAAACCAATAACCCTAACCTCTTGTGAACTTTGTCATTTTACTAAAGCTTCATGGGGTCACGTAGAAGTGCTAGGTACTTCTCTATCTTTCTACCTCCCTTCATCTACCTCTCCCCCACCCCAGGACTGCCTCTCCCTTTTCCCCAACCACCCCCACCCCCATTCTTTTTCTGATATCTCAACCCATTTTTATTCAGAGCATTTATGCATATCTAAACCCAGATACTCAGTAAAAAAGCCATCCCCAGCACTAACCCCTCCTAAAAGACCTGTGCATAGCTTTTCCATAATAATCATACCAACTTCCTCCTGAGATGCCTGGGCTGCAGTCATTCAGGAGATTCCTCCAGTAATGGAGGGAAAGTCAGAGGTTAGAGACAGGGACCCTGAAAGGATCAGAGATCCCAAGGGGCCATTGAGACCCTGAGCATGTTACTTCACATCTCTGAATCTCAGTTTCCCCATCTATAAAATGAAGATGAAACTACAGATCTAAGATTATTTTGTTTTCACATTGTAAGTTTCAGGGAACTAGCAATACCAAAAAAGGATAATCAAAGTACAACTAGTTCTCAGTTACCCTAACATCTTTCAGTTTTAGGTTTAAAAGGACCTCAACTGCTTGGTTGCCACCCTATTTCTTACACTTCCATCCTGAAAAAAAAAAAATTCACAATTTGGAGAAAGCTTCGCTTCCTCTCTTGGCTTTGGTCCAGCCCTTCAAAGAGCATGATCTTTTACAAATGCACATGAATGGAGCAGAAATGTCTTTCTCAAAGAGTATTACAGGGAAACTGTGAATAGTTTTTTGTGGAGAGGTGGGTTGCTTCTGTACTTCTCTTCTCTTTTTCAATGAGCAAACAAAAAACAGCCAGGGACACTCTGTGGTCAGAGATTAAACATCACAATATGACTATTTTCATTTCCGGTTCATCCAAAGTCCCCACCAAAACACTAAAATGATTCTCAGAAACTGCATAAAGATGGGGAGGCTCTAAGAGAATATCAAATTCTGCTTATCTAGACTTGACTCTGCTTAATTCCCAACTTAGCAAAACCCAGATTAAAAAAAAAAAAATCTAGCAAAAGCTTCATCCTGGCAGATAGAGAGATAGGAGTGACAGCTCCCGCACATGCTGTCCTGGTGTGGTTTGCTTGTTTTTGTCAATTCTGATTCTCTGGAAAAAGATTATCTATCCCCAAAGCCATTAAAGCCTCTAACCAGGATAAATAGTTCCTGCCTATGAAAAACAGTCCTCCATTGTCAGACAATCCCTCTTAATTGATCTTAATAAGCCTTTGTAAATGAAGAGGAAGAAAAAAGCAGAGCACTAACGCATGGTAATTATCTGTAATTCTCCATTTGTAATGTCACTGAATAGAGAAAACAATGCAAACGTGGACAGATGCTGACTAGCGCTTACAGACATTAAAATCAGTGTATTTCGTACAGTAAGTAACATGACTAAGCTGCAGTATTTCAAAGCCAGGTCTTCATCCCTATGACAATATCCGGTACCATAGATCGCTGGGGACAGTCATGACGGAAGGTTTCCACAAGGAATGACCCAGGCGGCAGTTTGGCATTGTGGCCTAAAAGGTGATCAGTGTGGCAGATGCTCCTTTAGCTGCTAACATTTAATGTAAAATTTGGTAATTCTGTATCAGCTTTAAAGTGAGAAGAGAAAGACTCCCCAGCTTCCTAGGTGGGTTTTTTGCCAACTTAAAAGAACTATAATCCTAGCATTTTAGAGGGCATTTAAAATGAAATGTCCTTATTTAACAGATAGAAAGAAAACACAGGGGAGGTCTCAAAGCTGTGAGTGAAGCCCACAGGCCTCAAGTGTAGTGCAAAACAAAGTTGGTTTGGGAGGGATGGGGGCGGGATCATGAAAATGTTACATAAAAGCCAGATCTGAACAGTGGAAGGAAGGCCAGGACACAGAGTCCAAAGTCCTTGACCTGAAGGCAAGGATGGTGATAAACAGGTCACACATCAAAAGCCTGGGACACAACATCCTGACCTTGTGACTTCCAAGACCTTGGGGGCTGACCGATCAAGAGCCACAGGTACCAAGCAAGGGCTCTCTTCTTCTGCTTCTGCTCCAGGTAACCTCTAGACTCATTAAATGGATCTGCATTGCGGGTACTGCCCCCCTCCACAAGAAAGACTGCTATGACCATCCAGATACAAACCTTATAGGGTCAATAACTCCCCCTCTCAACTTGTAGGAGGAATCCCCAAATGACTGGAAGCGGCCTCCACTAGAGATCACCCCACTGTACACGCCAGCTCTTCTCCGCCCAGAAAGACCCAATAATATCCAATCCCTAAGCAACCTAGGGGCTGGTTCCACCTCACAGAACATGCCTGCGCTCTCCCACTTGAGAGTGTGCCTCCACCTTAATAAACTGCTTTGTGCCTGCTGCTTTCCTTCTGGCTGTGTTCACTGGAGTGCAGGTCCCCAGGTAAATCTCATGGGCAATCCAAGGACGGGGACCTCCTTTCCACACAAGGCAGAGGCTCCCAGCAATAACAGAAAGACCACTACTCTTTATCTTACAGATAATCTCATTTTCCATCTTGGCAGTAACCAATATTTCTCTTATCTTCTTTACCTCTTTAGGTACCAATAAGTAATCCTGAGCAGGGAGCTCTGTGCTAGGTGCTGGGGTTGCTATACCATTTCTGATACATTCAGAGAGATGAGAGCAACTTTCATGTCTCAGCAGAAAAACAACTATGTTTTTAAAATTCCACAAACCTCCACTTCAGAAGTACGAGTGATCTTGTGTGACTTTGTGTGCAAGTGTGTAGGGTGGGTGTGTACTCTGAGCATAAGTGGCACCAATGAAAAGGAACAACCTTAGGCTCACAGCTGAAGATGAGCCAAAAAGAAAGACGGGAGCAAAGGTCACCAACAGATAACAGAAACGGGGAAATGAATGAAACTCCAGGGAAGCAGAGAATCGGGTACCTGCCAGAGGCTCTGCCCAGAGCCATGGTCTGGGGGAGGACATGACAGCCTTCACATGACTCACTGGAAGCCTGTGTGGGCTCTGCCCTAAGGCTAACAGTTACCAGCACTAGGAGCCACCTGCTTTTATTCTAACACATGACAAAATACGTGGAATTAGAAAAGAGGTGAAAGAACTTTGATTATTTTTACTTTAATTCTCTTGAAAGTTACCCAAATTAAAAACAGTGCACCTCCTATCTATTTGGGGGGACAATAAATGGGGGGGGGGAGTTGAAAATACTTAGCTGATTAGTGATTTTTAATTTATATCACTTTCTCAATTATTCAGATAAGAATTCCACTGAAATCATATTATAAGCTGACCTCAGCCAGTTTAGCACCTCAGAAAATGCCTGGTTCTTCTGATAAAGAGAAGGAGCTTCCACCACTTGGAGGCAGGTGACAGCTATGTACTCGCTGATCCCAAACTTACTGCCAGCCTTGGTCCAATTTCTGCCAACGCACATAGGCAAGCAGGCACAAAAACAGACAAGCTGTCCTTTTCCAGAAGGAATTTCTCTTTTTGATCTCTGTGACTTAACAAGAATCACGCAGGGTCACTTTGGGTGTTCACACATTCTCAGGAAAGGACAGACAAACCTTAGTTAGCGTCAGGTGGAGAATGAGCCCTTCGAGAAGTAGGGGGCCCATGATCCTCACTGCCCTGAAGGCTCAGCAGGTTCTCACCCAGGGGTGGTGGGTGCTTACAATTCATTTTACTAATGAAAAAGATGTTTTCAACATCCTTAAAAGTAAAGAAAACCACTCAGACAATATTTGAAGTGTTTAGGCAGAACCATCTTTGGAGAATGTATTCCTAATGAAGATCTTCCCAATGTCACCAAAGCACCAAGAGTTAAATTAAGTTCACGTATGCATACATACAGGGCACTAGGTATACTTCAGTATTCTTAATGCAGGTAATTTGATTGTTTCTACAAAAGTAAACTTTCAACCTTCAACCCAAGTTATTTACTGCTATTTTACCAGGCAAATTTTCTCTTATAAATTTAAATGATTGAAAACCACTAAGGGAAATCAATGTTGAAATTTTGCAAATACAGTTTCATTTATCATTCTTCTCCCTCTCTATTAGACAAAATGTCTATTAATCCAACTGCTGATCATGTTAAGTTACCATTTATATTTTTAGGACCTCACAGTCAAAACCCAAGATTTGTTTCTAACTTCTCATCAAAATGAACATATCTTTTTATGTTACTACATATGTATATAAGTACCATACTAGTATTTCGTTCTATTTTAGACTTTTGCAAAGTCAAATTAGGTTAGCTAGCAATATTAAATTCATGATTCAAAATGAGATTGTTAGAAGAATTACAGTGTTCTCCAAGGCTTACCCATTGCAAACCATGTTGATAATAACGGGAAAACTACCATTTATTATACTTTACCACAATATATTCAACCCTAACCACAACCTTATTAGTCCCTTTCTAGTGATGGAAATACTTGAGCTCAGAAGGGTTAAGTGAGATGACCCAGATTACAAGATGAAAAACAAAGGATTCAAACCCTGATCTTCCGGGCTCCAAATCCTAAACTCTTTCCTTTTTGATTTGTTATTACACCCGAGCCCTTGAACACATTAAACTACCAAACTATGTATCTCAAAACAACAAAACCACACAAACATGCCATATATCCTATTTCATACCTTTAATCCTCTGAAACTTCCTGGGCTAGTTGGGGAAGAGCTGGAGGATTTCGTTGATTTAGGAGTAGACAGCTGGCTGCTGGGAGTTCCATTAACTGACCATAAGACAACAGAGGAGACAGAGGTCATTAAAACCCAAAACAACCCAACTGTGTGCAAAAACACTAAGCACATGCACAACATAGCTCCAGTGAAGCTTTGATTCATTTAAAGCTCCAAGCAGATGGCAAATCAGCAAAAAGCAAAAGTAATGTGTCTTATTGCATTACAAAGTATCAGACAAATAAGGAGTGAAACTAAAATTGTTTTCAGTAATAGTTCTCCGAAAGTGACATAAACAAATATATAAAACATTATGGAATTAGAGATGTGAATGAGAACTTGTCCATACACCCTACCCGCTAGCAAGGGTAGAGAAATGAAATGGCCGGTATATTTGTAATGCTTTACTATGAAGGTTGCTCTCTAACTTCCAATATCCACTCTCTTGGTATATACCAACCTGAATAACCAAGAAGTTCTTACGGCTCTCCAAACCAATTCCATCATAATAATTCAAACACATTTTCTAAGTATATTTTTAATAGAAAGGGAAAGTTACTGGTCATTTTTAACATCTGCTTATTTGTTTGAAGGCCATAAAAGGCACTCTTCAACTTTATTTTTCCTAAACTAGTCATTTCTATTTCCTTCTATTTTCTTGTCTTCACAGTTTAATTTCTCCCATTATTTAGTAAATCTTGATGATTTTTTATAGAATCCCCTCCAAACTTCCATACACTTCTTATTGTTGAAATTGCTGAAAGCTCAATTTAGAGCACACCTAGGAAAAGTATGACCACTGCTATTTTCTTTTCTTTTTAAAATGTTTATTTATTTATTTTTGAGAGTGAGAGAGCATGAGCAGGGGAGGGGCAGAGGGAGAGAGAGAGAATTTAGACAGGCTCCACTCTGCCCAGAGCCTGACACAGGGTTCGATTCCACCACCCTGGGATCATGACCTGAGCCAAAATCAAGAGTCAGACTCTTAACCTACTGAGTCACCCAGGAGCCCCTAACCACTGCTGTTTAGAGGGGAAGATAAATTTGCGGATTTTATACTACAGAATGCTGGTCAAACATTTCAGCATGGCTCATGCTTATTCCTAATTGTATCAACTGGATCCATTTCTGCTGTAATTTCACAAAGTTGGTAGTAAATGTCTAGGACTGGTGTAATTATTTTTCTAAGAAGTGTGTGTAACTTCTTTTATCATTAACCTTCAAAGCTTTGCCTAAAGATAAAAACTACCATTTATCTCTATGGGAAGAAAAACAAAGTCCATCTTTTTCTTTTCTTCTTCATTTTTTAAATATGAGGAAGCAAACAACTATTATTTTAAATGAAGCTAATGAGTATAAAAAGCAAAATGTAGAGATAAAAGTCCTAAATAGGTGACTCAAAAAAGTGAGCACCCATCCTCGAGTAGGGGCAAAAGTCCTACTTTTGTAGGACAAGTGTTTGTAATGGGATGTGTTATCTGTAAACCAGGACATCTAGCTCTATGAAGTCATGCTTGTTTGCTGCATTGCTCATTTTTATTTTTACAAAAAAAAATTTTTAACATTTATTCATTTTTGAGAGTGAGAGAGACAGAGCATGAGTGGGGGAGGGGCAGCGAGAGAGGCATAGAATCCGAAGCAGGCTCCAGGCTCCGAGCTGTCAGCACAGGGCCCGATGTGGAGCTTGAACTCACGGACTGTGAGATCATGACCTGAACTGAAGTCGGACGCTTAGCCGACTGAGCCACCCAGGCGCCTCTGCATTGCTCATTTTTAAAAATTGGGTATGGATGAAAAAATTTTCTAGTCACTTTTAACTGGCCAAACTTTAATTTTTCTAATTCAAAACCCCTCATGCATAAATAACTATCAGTTATCTATAATTTCTTAATACATGTGCACCTTTAGAGTGCAAGTACAACACGAGAAACTGTGCAATTAGAAACTTTTAAGAATATTCAACAGTCCTAGTTATTTCTCAAGTTAAATTTCAATGTTGTTTGTTTTAAAAATTGTCTTTAAATAAAGGGAATAGGTGGCAGGAATTCACATAAAGTAGAGATTATTATGAGCAATGAATAAGTCAACTTGCTGTGAGCTGAGACTGAATTTTATTCCTTTTTTTCTTCATTCCATACAGCAACCTGTCAGGTCACCAATCCCTACTCAATGAGTGCTATTAGCTTCACAGATATTCAGACACCACACTGGTAACAAAGGCTACCTTGGAACAGTGACAGAAAAGGGACTAAAAGAGAAAAATCAATTCCTGCAAATGTAATCTTGACAGCAAACAATCTCCCTAAAAACACACCACCTCCTGCCTAAACATAGTTTCT